TTGGACAGGGATTCATGATAGGATTTCTTGACAGTTGTTGTGTGTTAATAAACATATCATCAAAATTAGCATCATTTAGCCATCAGAAGAAGTGTTTGCCTGTTTAGCATTAAAGATTATATTATTAAACATCTGAAGAGGGGATGATACTAATTTTACACGGATGATCCAAAAATGTAAAAAGATCTTTGCAGATAATGCCAACTTTGGCAGCTAAATGGTCTCTCGACGCTCCATTCAAGGACTATGATCCAACATTGATATACTTCTCCACAGTTCGTGTTGGGCTATGATGCCTAATTACCTTTCTGGACTGTGATGACAAAATGGGCTAAAGCCCAAAATCTGTTTTATTAAAACCAAGGCTCTTGCCCAATAACGTGACTTGATCCACCCAACCTAAAAGGTAGAAAACGTGTTTTCTGGCAAGGCATTTTAAATGCAGTCCAAAACACGCCTCTTCATTATTCTTGGAAGCCCTCGATCATTGGATGAAATCCTGATCAATGGTTATTTGTCTGTGGGTATAAATATGCCTCTTGGTTACCCTAATTGAGTTGAATCATCACTTTCTTTTTCTTGAGTAGCATGTGAGACTTTAAGGCTCTTCGAAACGCTTCTTTTTCTTCATGAACTTCCAATCTCTGATTGGAACTATTTTCTGAGTGATTCTTCTGTGTGAAACTGAAATAGTAAGTGTATTGAAGGTGTTGGTGTGTGATTTTACTCTTGTGGCTTCCTTTAATCTGATAGAGGCAAAGTCTTAGGGTTTGGGTGGATCGTGTGGGTTATACAAATGGGTACAAACTTGATTTTCTCTCGAGTTTGAGCCCAAAAGATGAAAGACCTTCATCTTTGATGCCTGTGTTCTGAGTTTCGTTGATCGGCTGAAAGCGGATTTGTTTCTGTAATTTTTTTACTAACATTTTTCTTGGTTGTTTTGTATATTTAGGTTCATTACTTTGTGTAACAGTGGTATTAGAGCCTTTGATTGGCTCTTGTGGTTGAACCGAACCACGTTCTTACAATATCCGATAGATCTGGTAAATTTCTTGGAGTCACAACCCTTTATATGGAGTTTCTTTGTGATAAATCTGGCTTTTCTTGGTGAAAATTGCCTACGGTGATTGGATTTGTTCGATCTTGGGTATTGTGGACTCGTACCTTGATGAAATTCGTGTGTGGTCATGTGAAACGACCACTACTATGGTTTAATTCTTCAAACCCTACTTTTACTGCTTGATTTCTTGTTATCTGCTTTACTGAATAATTGTTCTTGCATTTGGACCTGTGTGATTTGAGTTAATCTACCTATACTTGTTCTGTTAGAGTAGTGCAGTATACTTGTACATTGTTCTCTGATTCTTTCCATGTTGGAATATTATAGTAATATGGGTAACTGTTCTGTTCCTATCTTGTATTAATATCTTCCTCATTTCGTATCAACAAAACCTCTACCCATTACCCAAGCCTTGCCCTGAGATCTTGAGTCTCACGGAATCCTGGTAAGGCGAGGTAGTTGATCATTAAAACTTTGTGTTTGATACTGTGTGTATGTTAAGTTGTTATTTCTGCACTTATATATACTTTTTTTCCTTTCCTGTAATATCAAGAATCTCTGCTTCCTATTGTGATCCAATCAATATTGCTAAGTGTGACCTATTTGATCTATAAGATGACCACCACTAGCTTTGAACTTGGGGCCTTCAATGGGAAGGAAGATTTTCCTATATGGCAACAAAAAATGAGAGGGGTTTTAGTGCAACAGAAAGTTTCTAAGGCTATAACTAGAGAGTTTCCTGAAACAATGACACAAGAACAGAGAACTGAATCATATGATTTAGCCTATACCTCAATTATTCTCCACCTGTCTGACCAAGTGTTAAGAAAAGTAGGGAAATTAGAAAATGCTAAGGCCCTATGGGAGAAATTAGAGGAGCTGTACTTAATGAAGTCTTTACCTAATAAGCTCTTCCTTCTAGAGAGGTTCTTTAGTTTTAAGATTGATCCAACCAAAGACCTGGATGATAATCTTGATACCTTCAATAAATTGGTACAAGATATCACCAATGCTGGGGATAAAATTTCTGAAGAATATAAAGCAGTAATACTTCTTAATGCCATAGCAGAGGCATATAAGGATGTCAAATCTGCCATTAAGTATGACAGAGATACTTTGACTCCTGAAGTTGTTATAAATTTCATAAAAAGTAAAGAATTGAAACTTAAAACTGAAAGACAAGGGAAGGAATCTTAGAGTTTGTTCATGAGAGGAAGGCAACCAAATAGTTAAAACAATAACCATCCAAATCAAAATCATTTAGGAAACAGTAAAAGAAAGAAATTCAGGAGTAAATCAAGATTAAAATCAAAAGCAAGAAATAACAGGAAGTGCTATGATTGTGGCAAACTTGGTCATTACATAAAAGATTGTCATAACAAGAATGTTGAACTTAAAGAAAAGAAAGTTGATGAGGGGAACATGGTTGAGCCTGCTAAACCTAACATAGTTGATGTATATGTGGTGGCTCAGCAACCTGATCTGGAACTGGCAAATTATGCTCACAAAAGATATGTCCATGAGTAGATATTGGACTCAGGTTGTACCTTTCATATTATACATGAAAGGTCCTGGTTTCAAGATTTTAAGAAGTTAGGAGGTATTGAAGTGGTGATGGGGAATAATATTGCCTGTTCAGGTAATGTGACCCTAAAATTTGAAAATGGATACATGTATACCCTAGAGAGAGTGAGGTATGTACCTGAACTCAAAAGGAATCTCATTTCTATGGGAGAATTAGATGACCTAAGGATGTGTGGTAGGATTGGGGATGGGTTGAAGAAAATGATTAAGGGATCTCTTGTCATCTTTAAGCGTGTAAAGAAAAGTGGAATCTATGTAGTTAAAGCTGAAACAGTACTTGAAAATTATGCTACTGTCTCTAATACTGAATCTGATTCCACCCTAAAATGGCATAAAAGGCTTGCACATGTTGGTGAAAAAGGCCTCACAATTCTATATAAAAGGAGGGCATTTGGTAAGGACCAAATATCAAAAATTCCTTTCTATTTGGTAAACATCACAGACTCCACTTTAATTCTGGAAAGCATAAAACTACTTCGCCATATGAATATGTCTACTCTAATTTATGGGGTCCAACCTCCACAACTACCCGGGGGAAAATAAGTATTTTCTCTCAATAATAGATTACTTTTCAAGGAAAGTGTGGGTGTTTATACTAAAACACAAATCTGAAACTTTTGAAAAGGTTAAGAGCTGGAAAGTCCTTATTGAAAATCAAATGTCTACAAAGATCAAAATTTTGAGAACTGATAATGGACTTGAATTTTGCAACTCAGAATTTGATAACTTTTGTGAACAAAATGGAATCCTAAGATACAAAACCGTCCCATATACACCCCAACAAAATGGGGTGGCCAGGAGAATGAATAGGACCTTGTTGGATAAAGTCAAGTGTATGATGGTGGGATCTAGAGTTCCTAAGGTGTTGTAGGGGGAGGCTAATGTGACAGCCATATATATAGTGAATAGAACCCCTTCTAGTGCTCTAGAAGGAAAAACATCTAAAGAGAAGTGGTCTTGAAATTTGTCAGACTATTCCCACCTTAGAGTTTTTGGGTGTACAGCTTACTGTCACCAAAAGGGCTCAGAAATGTGTGTTCTTAGGCTATTCTAAAGGAATTAAAGGTTATAGGTTAGGGGCTAGAGGTCATGGGGGATATAAAATCATAACAAGTAGAGATGTTACCTTCAATGAGGATGAGATGCTCTGTTTAGAAAAACAAAAGTCTACAGAACTTGAAAGCCTAAAACCAAGTTTCAATGGAGTTGGGATCTCAAACTGATTTTGTTCCTAATAATATGAGAGAAAATGAACCTACACTACCTCAGACTCAGACTGAATTACAACATTCAGGTGTGCAAGAACAAAAACAAACTGAAATGGATGATCCCAGTCAACAAAGTGATATTAGTGACTATCAATTGACTAGGGATAGGCCTAGAAGGAACATAAGAAAACCTACAAGATATGAAGACTATCTATCATATTCTGCCATTTCTTATAATGACCTAGCCTATAAGGAAACTAAGACCTATAATGAAGCTATGAGTTGCAACCACTCTGGTAAGTGGGAAACTGTCATGAGAGAAGAGATGAGCTCTTTAATGAAAAATAAAACTTGGGATCTTGTGCCTAGACCCAAAAATTAATCCATAGTTGATTTTAAATTGATTTACAAAGTGAAAGAAGGTAGTTCAAATCATGAGCCTGTAAGATTTAAAGTAAGATTAGTTACTAAAGGGTTTATACAAAAACAAGGTGTGCATTACAAAGAGATATTTTTACCTGTTGTAAAATACACAACTATTAGAGTTTTACTTGCATTAGTTGCACATCAAAATTGGGAATTAAAACAAATGGATGTAAAAACAGCTTTCTTACATGGTGATTTAAATGAGACAATTTATATGTCACAACCCGAAGGTTTTGTGAATAAATCTAAATCTGATTTTGTGTACTTACTTAAAAAATCCTTATATAGTTTAAAATAGTCCCCAAGACAATGGTATAAAAGGTATGATAATTTTATCATGACTGTTGGTTTTGTAAGAAGCTCTTATGATAATTGTCTTTACTTTAAGAAAAATTTTGATTCTTTAATATCCATTTTTCTATTACTTTATGTTGATGACATATTGTTAATTGGGCATGATTTAAAACAGATAAATGATATTAAAGAGACTTTTGGAGTTGAGTTTGAAATGAAAATTCTGGGGCATGCTAAAAGAATACTGGGAATGGATATACTTAAGAAAAAGATCACAATCCACCTTGATTTTGAAACAATCAGCTTACATAGAAAAAGTCTTATCAAAGTTTTCAATGCATGAATCAAAATCAGTGTCTTTACCCTTAGCTAGTCATATCAAATCAAGTAAAGAGCAATGTCCAATTGATGAATCTGATATAAGTTACATGGAAAAGGTTCCATATGCTAATGCAGTAGGGTATATAATGTATACCATGGTCTGTACCAGACCTGATGTGGCTCATGCAATCAGCACTTTAAGTAGGTTTATGGCTAATCCTGGTCCTAAACATTGGGAAGCACTTAAGTAGTTTCTTAGGTACTAAAAGGCACATCCAACTTAAGATTAGTGTTTTAAAACTGTAATGAAGGAATAATGCTTAAAGGCTTTGTTGATGCTGATTTTGCTGGTAATATGGACAATGCAAAGTCCACTTTTGCCTATATGTTCACACTTTGTGGTACCTGTGTGAGTTGGAAGTCTCAGTTGCGGCCTATAGTTGCTTTATCAGCCACAGAGGCTGAATATGTTGCTGCCACAGAGGCTATAAAGGAAGCCTTGTGGCTTAAGGGATTGTTATTAGAAATAAGAATCTTAAATGAACCTGTTGCTGTATATTCTAATAGCTAAAGTGCAATACACCTGTGTAAGAACCATGTTTTTTTATGAAAGAACTAAACACATAGATGCGAAGTTACATTTTATTAGGGATATCATCTCAAATGAATCTGTTCTTCTTGAAAAAATTCCTACACAGTATAATCCATCAGACATGGGGACAAAGGTATTGCCTCTTTCCAAGTTTAAATCATGTTTCACACTTTTGAATATTGATACAGATTAACTTTTAATGCAAGTATAACTTGGTGTCAATTGGAAAGCTGCAAGTGTCCAGAAATCCCATTGGCATCAAGGTGGATGTTGTTGGGCTGTGATGCCTAATGACCTTTTTGGACTGTGATGACAAAATGGGCTAAAACCCAAAATCTGTTTTATTAAAACCAAAGCTCTTGTCCAATAACGTGACTTGATCCACCCAGCCCAAAAGGTAGAAAGCCTGTTTTCCGGCGAGACATTTTAAATAAGTCCAAAACACGTCCTCTTCATTATTCTTGGGAGCCCTCGACCGTTAGATGAAATCCTGATCAATGGTTATTTGTCTGTGGGTATAAATACGCCTCTTGGTTGCCCTAATTGAGTTGAATCGTCACTTTCTTTTTCTTGAGCAGCCTGTGAGACTTCGAGAATCTTTTAAACCCTTCTTCTTCTTCGTGAACTTCCAATCTCTGATTGGAACTGATTTCTAAGTGATTCTTCTGTGTGAAACTGAAATACTAAGTGTATTGAAGTGGTTGGTGTGTGATTTTACTCTTATGGCTTCCTTTAATCTGATAAAAGAAAAGCCTTAGGATTTGGGTAGATTGTGTGGGTCATACAAACGGGTACAAATCTAATTTTCTCTCGAGTTTGAGCCCAAAATATGAAAGACCTTCACCTTTGATGCCTGTGGTTTGAGTTTCGTTGATCGGCTGGAAGGAGATTTGTTTCTGTAATTTTTTGTACTAGCATTTTTCTTGGTTGTTTCGTATATTTGGGTTCATTACTTTGTGTAACAGTTCGTGTGCATTTATTGTTGGATGGGGGGACCAAGGAGAGCGAAAGGAGACTAGTGATATGGATTCTTGCCATCCTTCCGAGACACTATATTAGGCTAGAGAGGAAATTCTGGGGACTGAAAGGTTAGAATTTGTATGGAACTTTAATGTTTGAGATTGATGTGGTGACTACTCTTTAAGTTATCCCAATTATTGTTAACGTTATGCCCAGCCCACCTCCTCCGTTTTAGGGATGACTTTGAGAATAGCTGGGAAATTCTTCCTATTTTCCACAATAGCCTTTCCTATTAAAAGTACTATATTGCTCTTAATGAAATTATTTCAAAGATCTATCTTATATCTTTAAGGATTTATCAATCAGGCCCTATATTAATATCTTTCAATATTTCGAACACTTTTAAATATTCTTTATATTTTAATAATTCTTCAAAGATTATAGGTTGTCCTCTCTTGGTTATATATCCTTTAAATAATCCTTCTGAGATTTCTTCTTGTATATTTGTATGTTTAGTTATAATATCTTCTACTTTTCTTATTTCTCTGTTAGTTCCTACAGGATCAAATCCTATATTATTTCTACAATTATAATCTATATCTCTGTATATTTCTTCTATTTTTTCTCTACCAACAGGAAATATATCATCAGATTTTTTATCTAGTTTAAGTAAGAACGAAACATCTTTTTCATCTAAAAATAAAATAAGATTATTACCATCATTAGTAGTGGAAGTGGATGCTTGTGAATTGTTCATGAAAATAATTAAAGCATAAGCATGTAAAAATAAATAAATAACTTACAGTAATCAATTGGAAATAAACAGGCTTTCCTTCCAGTATGTTTTTATAGATGCTTTGCATGTACTTAATCAGTCTTCTGAATCAAGTAAAGATTTAAAATGTTTTTGAAATCATTTGGGTCCACAACTGCTTCCGCAAAAGGTTTTTCAACTAAGGTTGCACTTCTCAATCTAGAAAACTAGCCGTGTTTCCACAGACGCTATCTCACAGTATCCAGAGTCTCTGTTTTCAGCTCTATCCAAACTCTTTTCAGAATCAAGTTCCTACTTGGAACGAAATTTTAAAAGATAACTCACACATAAGGTGCTACAATTTTTGTTAGAAGACTGCCTTTTTCCCCTAACCATTCATCAAATACGGGTACTTTGGCATGGCTAACATCCATTCAAAATCAAAGTTTTGAAAATCTTTTAAAATCTCTATCTGTACTGCCGAGGAATTATGAGAAACTTAACGAAATCCTTTTATGTAAGCTTTGTTGAACATAACAAACTTTACTTTAATATTCATGAACTGAAATTGTACATACTTACAAACTATATTTACATACCTTTGGTACTCACCTTATGAAGTTTAGAACTCCATAAGTGATTACCTTATTACATGCTTTCTTAACTTCAAGCTATCTAATATTTTTCTGAATACAAGTAGTGTAATCAGATTACAAAGATTTCTCTCAAATGTGTTTAAGAGAAGTTATTTCAAGGTATTTCGAGATGATCTCCTTCTTCTTTCATGCCTCCTTTTATAGGAGATTTTGGAATCTTATTTTGGACAGGTGTTTTCCTTTTTTCTTTGTTGGGTAGCTAGACCATCTTATCTCCACCGAATTCTTCATTGTCTTCTTGTTGGGTGGACCACTTCTTTTGAAAGTAGATGCCTTATCTTTTGAGTTTGTCTGCCACTTGTAACTATTGGTGAGGAGTAGTTACAATTATAGAGACTTTTCTTGCATTATCTTCTGTCTTCTAGTAGCCACAGTTTTTCTTTAATAAATTTCTTTATTAAAGTAGTGATAAAGGGCTACTTTAGTCACCATCACTTCTCCATTTTCGAATCAAAGAATTCTGCAGGGAATTCTTCATCATTAAGAGATGCTTGACTCATATCTTCAACAACACAGTATTCACAATGGTGATCACTGTAATTTCAGAGTAATTTGCATAGTTCTTTAGCCATATCCTCTGATCCGTGCACTTGGTTGGATATGATTGCAGATAATAAATGGTCGAGATAACAAATATCTTCTTCTTTTGTTTTCATCCTTGCATTGGAATAGATAATATGATCTTCAGATGGATAAACCCATATTTTTTCTTTCTCAGTAATTATCTGAGTTACATGCTCAAATATCTCTTTATACCCTTTTGCTCTCCTATAAGGCATCATATTAAGAATATCTTGATATCCATTTTTAACAACCTTTTGATTGGCTGGTAAAAAATGCTGGTTTGTTAGTCCCATTTTGATCACATGGAAAGATGGATGCATATATTCAAGGGCAGGATCCCATTCCATTGTTGCTGAATGGAATCTGATATATATATTTGTTGTTTTAACAACTTCAGTATATCTTTTAACAGCTTTCCTAATGTTAACTGGAAGCTGAGCTATCTCCTTGAGATCTTTACTAGGGTATATACAAAGTATATTTCCTATTTCAAAGCAATTTCGAACCCAGTTGGCTGGTGCTCCTGGATAAAAGTTTATCTTGTTGTATTTTGAATAATGGAGAGTCTTCATCCACTTTCCAATCTCCAGATACCAATCTGATAAAATATTAAAAATAACAATAAAGAGAGTTACTTCTTCATAGTTATCTTTTTTGGGCATTTTTGCTTCATGACATATTTTGACAATATCTTTGGGATCTATCCTTTCAATAGAAAGTTTAGATTGAGTTTGGCTCTGTGAAGAGCTACCTTCTCTTGGGATATCTTGAATATTTCTATTACCAGTAATAGGTTTAAGTATTCCCTGTGAAGGAGTTCCTATTACCTTCTTTTCTTTCCCTTTATCCTCGGGGAGAGCGCTAGTATTCACAAGTCCCTGCGAAGGGATACTAGTCTTGGTACAAGTAACCTCTGCCTCAAGGGCTATATTTTTGCTTCGAAAGCTATCTTGGATATTTTGAATTTGGGTTTACAAATAGGAAACTTTTATCTCAAGTATCTGGACTTTCGTCCTTAATTGTTCTAGCTCCATCCCTGCTAAGATAATCAGGAAGAAAGTTAGCTTTTCCTTCAATATATTCAATATCAAATTTGAAGTATCAAAACCAAATCTGTATCCTAATTATGTATCTATTAGTCACAGATGGATCAACATTATTTTTCAAAAATGCTTTAACTTGAGTATTATCAGTTCTAATCAAGAACTTCTTTGGTAATAAATAATCTTCATATTTTTGAACTCCTCTTTTTACAGCAATGAGTTCTTTTCTATTCGTCTCATATCT